AAAAAGGTACTTTCTGAAATGTGTTTGTTAGTCTATTCCTGTAATCCTAGCTAGTGTAGGAAGATTGCTTTAAATTTGTGAGGGCAGCCTGGGCTATATATCTCGTGCTAGGCTAGCCTGGGTAGAGACCCTGTCTCAAAAAAACAAAACCATAAAGAATACCTGTACTTGCTGGGCTTTCTGAGCCAGGTGGGTATGCTGGAAGCAACTTAGGAGGCTAAGGTAAGAGGATCATTTGGGCAATATAGCAAGACCCCCATCTCAAAATAAAAATGCTATTATTATTTTGTTTTGTTTTGTTTTTGAGACAGGATTTCTCTGTGTAGCACTGGCTGTCTTAGAACTTGCTCTGTAGACCAGGCTGGCCTTGAACTCACTGAAACACCCCTGCCTCTCCCTCCTGAGAGAATAAAGGCATGGCCCACTGAGTCTGCCTAGGCCCAGCTTTGTTGTTTGTGAAGCAAAGTTTTTTGTGATTTGGAGTAAAAATTTTGTGACTACTGGAATTTATTTATTTGCTTTGTTCGAAGCCAGCCTGGTCTACAGAGGGAGTTCCAGGACAGCCAAGGCTACACATAGAAACCTTGTCTTGGGGGGCGGGGGGAAATAATTATTATTTAAATTTTCTCTCTTAAGGCTCTGTCTACATTTTAAAATTGTTTATTTGTGTGTGGGAAGGATGTTTTGAAGTGAGACCTGTAACTCACTTCAAACTCATGTAGCAAGGTAGCACAGATTAGATCCTTCTGCCTCTGCCTCTCAGGATGGTGGAAACAGAAATATGTGGTATCACAGCTTTCTTCCCTCCCTCCCTCCCTCCCTCTCCTTTTCCCTCCCTTCTCTTTTTACCTCCGCTTTCACATCCTCCCCACTAGCTGTTTTTTTTCCATTGCCCTCTCCCTAAATCTCCCTCCTCCATATCTTGGAATGACTTAAAAAGTTCAGTTCTCTTACAATTTCACCGACAGACACTTCAGAACAATATTTCTGCAGATCTGGGCATGGTGCAAGCCTGCAGTTCCATCATGTGGGAGGTGAATACAAGAGGATCAGGAGCTCGAGGTCATCATCACCTACATACTAAATTGGAGGCTAGTCCATAACTGCGGAAGACACTGCCTCAAAACCAAGAAAGGGGAGAAAATAGTTCTATAGATAAGTAGTCTTGGGGGCGGGTAGGATGTTACAACAATCACAGTATTATTGTTGTATCTACAAACTTTAGAATAATTGTGGCTAGAAACGCAGTTCAGTGGTAGGACATTTATTTATTGTGTCTGCATGTGTGCGAGGGTGTGCGTGCCACAGCACATGTATGGGCAGTCAAAGGGCAACTTGTGAGAGTCGGTTCCTTCTTGCCATTATGGGGTTTCAGAGATAGAATTCAGGTCATTAGGCTTTGGCAATTGCCCTTCCCTCTCAGTGGTCTTCCTAGCCCTCAAGCCTTGGATTTGTTCCCTGGTGCTGCAAAAGAACAAACAAACAAGTAAATAAACACTTAATAAAAATTATTATTTGCCAGGTGGTAGTGGGGTCGCCTTTAATCCCAGCACTTGGGAGACAGAGGCAGGCGGATCTCGAAGCCAGCCTGGTCTACAGAGGGAGTTCCAGGACAGCCAAGGCTACACATAGAAGCCTTGTCTTGGAGGGGGGGGGATTATTATTTAAATTTTCTCTCTTAAGGCTCTGTCTACATTTTAAAATTGTTTATTTGTGTGTGGGGAGGATGTTTTGTGCTATGGCACACTTACAGAGGTCAGGTGTCTGTTCTCTGCTTCTACCATGTGTCCTGGGATCAGACTTAGGTGGCAGGCACCTTCACCTATCTTGCTGGTTCAGTTGTTTTTCCATTCAGCATCTAAACAAGTTAGGTAAACGTGTCTCTTAAATCTTAATTTAAATAGCCCATACTCCTGGTAGTAAGAGCCAGATGAGATAGATGTATTTGGTTTTTGTTTTGTTTTGTTTTTTCGAGACAGGGTTTCTCTGTGTAGCTTTTCACCTTTCCTGGAACCCACTCTGTAGCCCAGGCTGGCCTCAAACTCACAAAGATCCGCCTGGCTCTGCCTCCCGAGTGCTGGGATTAAAGGTGTGTGCCACCACTGCCCAGCTGAGATGTAAGCTTTTAAAAGTTTTATACTAGCTAGGCAGTGGTGGTGCATGCCTTTAATCCCAGCACTTGGGAGACAGAGGCAGGTGGATCTCTGTGAGTTAGAGGCCAGCCTGGTCTACAGAGGGAGTTCCAGGACAGCCAGGGCAGTTATACAGAAAAACCCTGTCTCGAAAAAACAAAAAAAAAAAAAATTTTATACTAATAGGTAGGGTGATGGTATGTACTTGTAGTCCCAGTCTCAGGAAGTGGAGGCAAGATAATCAGGTGTTTAAGACCAGCTTTGCTGTATGTTTGATGAGGAGTTAGAGGCCAGCCTGGGCTATGTGAGATTTTGTCTTTTTTGTTCATTTGTTTGTTTTTCCAAGTCAGGGTTTCTCTGTGTAGCCCTGGCTGTCCTGGAACTCACTCTGTAGACCAGGTTGGCCTTGAACTCTTAGAGATCCACATGCCTCTACCTCCCCAGTGCTGGAATTAAAGGCTGCGCCACCACTGCCTGGCTATTGAAGATATTTTAAACAAATGCTAGAAAAACTTTCTGATGAACAATAGTCTGTTGTAGCTAGAGTTTTCCTGCCTGGCCCACAGTCAGGACAAATCTCTCACCCGCCAGTCCCACAGCCGCTCAGACCCAACCAAGTATTTACTTATATTGTCTCTGTATTTACTTAATACAGAGACTTATATTGCTTACAAACTGTATGGCCGTGGCAGGCTTCTTGCTAACTGTTCTTATATCTTAAATTAATCCATTTCTATAAATCTATACCTTGCCACGTGGCTCGTGGCTTACCGGCATCTTCACATGCTGTTTGTCATGGTGGTGGCTGGCAGTGTCTCTGACTCAGCCTTCCACTTCCCAGAATTCTTCTCCTCCTTGTCCCGCCTATACTTCCTCCTGCCTGACTATTGGCCAATCAGTGTTTTATTTACTAACCAATCAGAGCAACACATTTGCCATACAGAACATCCCACAGCAGTCTGTTGTTTGTATGAGACAGTATCACATGGTCCAGGCTTTCCTTGAATTCACTGTGTAAATAGTATGACCTTGCTTCCATTTTCCAAGTGCTGGAGTTAAGAAGAGTACTGCTAGCTAGGTCTTCCAGGCATGCTCTCCCCCCCCCCCCCCATACTGGGAAATAGATTCAGATCTTTATGTTCTAGGCAAGTATTCTATCCTAGCCTGATGTTCTGGTCTCATCTGTGGAGGTAAAGCTTTTTATTGTTTTGTTTGGGCCTAAAGTTTACTGTGTAGCATACTCTTGCCTTGATGAACTAGCAAACTTCCTACTTTGATAATCCTGCTTCAGCCTCTGAAGTGCTGGAACTATAGGCATATGCTGCTAGACTGAGCTCCTTCGGTATCTGTCTGTCTCTTGGGCCCTTTCTCCTTCTGCCATGTGTCACTGACATTTTCTTTGATGGTTAAATGTATTAAGAACAGTTGTTAGTCTTGGTGGTACACACTTTTAATTTCAGCACTTGGGAGGCAGAAACTTGGATCTCTGAGTTGGAGGCCACCCTGGTCTACAGAGTGAGTTCCAGGACAGCCAGGACTACACAGAAACCCTGTCTCTAACCCCGCTCCCCCCAAAAAAAAGAAAGGAAAAAAAGAACAATTATGCTTCCCGTTGAAAATAGTAACACTGGGCTGGTGAGGTGGGTCAGTGGGTAAAGGTTGATAACCTGAGCTTGATCCACAGCACCCACATAAAGGTGGGAGAGAGCCGGGCGGTGGTGGCACACGCCTTTAATCCCAGCACTTGGGAGGCAGAGCCAGGCGGATCTCTGTGAGTTCGATGCCAGCCTGGGCTACCAAGTGAGTTCCAGGAAAGGCGCAAAACTACACAGGGAAACCCTGTCTCGAAAACCCAAAAAAAAAAAAAAAAAAAAAAAGGTGGGAGAGAACTCATTCCACAAAGTTGCCCTCTGGCTGCCACACATATGTCATGGCTCACATGACACACATACCAGACACATAATGATAAATTATGAAAAGAGAATTTGACCATATGAGTTAGAAAGGGGGTAGAATAAGAATGGAGTATGCGGCCTGGTGTTGTGCCTTTAATCTCAACACTCAGAGGCAGAGGTAGGCGGATCTCTTGAGTTCAAGGCCAGCCTGGTCTACAAAGTGAGTTTTAGGGCCAAGGCTGCACAGAAAAAGCCTGTCTCAAAAAGCAAAAAAAAAAAAAAAAAAAAGGAATATGCATAAGACTCTTGTAAGTATGAAAGAGGAAGAAAGAGCATTTAAAAAGTGCTCTTGGCTCAGCAGGTGAAATTACTAGCCATGTAAGTCAAACAGTCAAGTTTATATCTGGATGTGGTGCCTCACTCCACCTGCGCGCCCCCCCCCCCCCACAGGGTTTCTCTGTGTAGCTTTGCTCCTTTCCTGGATCTCGCTCTGTAGACCTGCCTGGCCTCGAACTCACAGAGATCCGCCTGGCTCTGCCTCCGAGTGCTGGGATTAAAGGCGTGCGCCACCACTGCCCAGCAGTGCCTCACTTTTGTAATTCTAGGAAGAAGGGGGTGGAGATAGAATCAGGGAAGGTCATGAGCCAGGAACCAGGAAATAAGCAGCGTAGAGGCCAGTAAATGAGTGAGCGAGTGAGTGAGTAAGGGAACAAAGAAAGAAGTGAATAAATAAATGGTTTTTCAGAGTTGTCCTCTGATAGCTAAATAAATGATCAAGGTGCATACACATATACACACAATAAGTAAGTCAGTAAATTTTATTTTAAATGGATTTGGTATTAGTGCGAGAGGCAATAAGTAGATCATCACATGCAGATTGACCCTCATAGTGAGTTTGGTAGAGGTTTTGTGACTGTGTTTATATATACTTAAGATTTTTTTCTTTTTCTTTCTTTTTTTTTCTTTTTTTAAGCAGCAGCATCTGGAATCAGGAGAGCCACAGGATCTGAGGTGAGTTTTATATTGATTCATTGTTGCTAAAAGTATAATTCTGGCATAGGAGACTCTGTCCAGGTATGTCCAAACTTCTGACATCACAACACACTGCTGTCATGTACAGAGTTCATACTTGAGAGCCATGTAATTGAGTGACAAAAAAAAAAAAAGAAAAAGAAGGACTGGAGAGATCGCTCAGTGGCTAAGAGCACTGGCTGTTCCTTCAGAGGTCCTGAGTTCAATTTCCAGCACTCACACGGTGGCTCAAAACCATCTATAGTGGGGTCTGATGTCCTCTTCAGGCATAAAGGCATACATACAGATAGAGCACTCACATACAGAAAATAAATAAATCTTAAAAAAAGAAAAAGAAAATGGCAAAATATCTCAAGGTATTTTAAGTTTATGGTGTTGTGTTGGGTCATATTCAAAGTTATCTTGAGTGTATGCAGGCCATGGGTTAGACATGGCTATCATTTTCTCTTTGTTTATGTCTTGAAGAGTTAGACAAGATCTGTGTGTGTGTGTGTGTGAGAGAGAGAGAGAGAGAGAGAATTTGACATGTTAATTTATCCAAAAAACTCACATGCAACTGCATAAAAAGAGTCATAATCTCTTAACACAGCAGTAGTCTAAAATAATGTACAAATAATTATGGACTAGACTGTAGGGTTTAGTGCAAAAATCACACTGTACAGAAAAGTTTGAGTCTTCCAACTTCTCTGACTCCAGTACTGAATGTGTTTCTTTACATTCCTCAGCTTCTTCCAAGTCCTTTTCCCTTTCTGAGTCTGTTGAAGACTCAAGTATGTGTGGCCTCTTAACTTGTGCTGGCAGTCTGGGATTGTCATCCAGGACTTTTGCAGACTCCCCTCCTGGGTTTTTTTTTTGTTTGATTTTTTTTTTTTTTTTTTTTTGAGACAGTGTTTCTCTGTGTAGCTTTGGAGTCTGTTCTGGAACTCACTCTATAGCCCAGGCTGGCCTCAAACTCACAGAGATCCGCCTGGCTCTGCCTCCCAAGTGCTGGGATTAAAGGGGTGCACCACCACTGCCCGGCCCCCTCCTGGTTTTTAATGGCAGAGTTTGTGGTGATATTGTATTCCCCAGTATATTGTGAACACTAATAAACTTATCTGGGATCAGAGAACAGAACATCCGCTAGATATAGAGGCCAGAAAATGGTGACACACCTTTAATCCTGGCATTCCAAAGGCAGAGATCCATCCGTATCTCTGTGAGTTCAAAGCCACACTGGAAACAGCCTGGCATGATGACTCACGCCTTTAATCCCAGGAAATGATGTCAGAAAGCAGAAAGGTATATAAGGCATGAGGTTGAGGAACTAGAGGCTGGTTAAGCTTTTAGGCTGTTGAGCAGCAATTCAGCTGAGATGCATTTGGGTGAGGACTCAGAGGCTTCCAGTCTGAGGAAACAGGATCAGCTGAGGAATTGGCAAGGTGAGGTGGCTGTGGCTTGTTCTGCTTCTCTGATCTTCCAGCATTCGTCCAATAACTGGCACCGGGTTTGTTTTTATTAATAAGACCTTCTAACATTTTGTTTTACAAGAGTTTTCACTATTCTATGGTTTTATTTTTTTTTTCAGTCTTGTTTTTGCTGCTTTTTCACATGCCACTTTTTTTTTGCCCAGTCGCTCACATTGCTCTTGATCTGCCTCACTGAGAATCAGTCATGCTTCCTTGAATGCTGTGGAAAAGGCAGGATTCTCTCTGTGTATTGGATGGTGGGTGGGTGTTATGTTGCTGGGGATCAAATCCAGGCCTTGTGCATTAGGTGAGCACTCTAGGCTGAGGATGTAGCTCAGTGGTAGACAGTGCTCTTTTTGCATCTTTTTGGTCCACTAGAAGTTACACAATTCTTGGGACAGGGCATTACTATATAGCCCAGCTGTCCTTAGATTTATCCTCCTTTCTCAGCCTCTGGAGCACTAAGATATGGACCACCATACCTGTCTACAGCTCTGGTTTTTTTGTAGGGGATTTGTGAGTTGTTGTTTTTTTTTTTTTAATTTCTGTTTTTTGTTTGTTTTTTGTTTTTGAGACAGGGTTTTTCTCTGTAGCTTTGGCTGTACTGGAACATACTATGTAAACCACGATGACCTTGAAGTCTCAGTAATCCACCTGCCTTTGCCTTTGAGTGCTCAGTGATAGGATTAAAGTCATGTGCTGCCATGCCTAGCTTTTGTTTTTGTTTTTATTTTTTCAAGACAGGTTTCTTTGTGTAGCTTTGGAGCCTTTCCTGGAACTCACTCTGTAGCCCAGGCTGGCCTCACAGAGATCCACCTGCCTCTGCCTCCCGACTGCTGGGATTAAAGGCGTGCGCCACCACTGTCCAGCTTTTGTTTTGTTTTTTTGAGACATTTCTCTGTGTAGCTCTGGCTGTCCTGAAACTCACTCTGTAGACCAGGCTGGCCTCAAACTCACAGAGATCCACCTGCCTCTGCCTCCACAGTTCTGGAATTAAAGGTGTGTGCCATCATATCCAGCTATAATATCAAAAGATATTGATTGAGCATATCTTTTGTTTTTGAGTTTTAGTGGATTATTTATTTATTTATTTGCTTGCTTTTGAAGCAGGGTCTCATTTAACCAAGTCTGGCCTCCCATTGTGCTTTGTTTAAGGCCCCTGAGGCTGACCTTAAACCCCAGATCCTCTGCCTTCCCTCTTGAGTGTTGGTATTATAGGCATGTCCCACCACACAGGCTTTGTAGTGCTTCAGATAGAAATCAGGGTTTCTCACAGACTGAGCAGGCACTCTACCAGTGGAGCTATATGCCTGATCCTTATTTGTTGTTTAGAGACAGAATCTCATTCTGTCCTCAGGCTAGCCTGGTATTGACTATGTAGTATGAGGTAACTTGTAACTTTGGGCAATCGTCTTGCCTCAGCCTCCCAAATAGTGGGATTGCAGGTATGTTTACACCTGTACGTTTACCCTTTCTTGTGCAGAATATCTTCGATTTACTATTCTTTCCCCACATGGAGATGTTCTAGCCCCATTGTTTCACTCCTATCCTTGTGTCAGGATTCAGAATGCTAAACTGGCACTTTTTTCTGAGATTTCAGGTTTTTCTCTTACAATATCTTCAAAGGTCTTTGAGATAATATGTTCTTACTTATATTTTAGTTATTATTTTTGACCTGATACAGCTCAAACTCACTCTGTAACCAATATTGGACTTGAACTGCTAGTCATCCCCCCCCCCCCCCCCCCCCCCCGCGCGCGCGCGCGCACAAGTAGTGACAGGGCTTATAGGTCATCACTACCAGGCCCTTTTATTAAGGGCCTTGACTATTAGGTCTTAAGATTGTGGAATACTGTTTTCACTAGTCTTGTCCTCTGGATTCTAAATTGATGGATATTAATGACATGGAGAGTAACTTGGTGTTGGTTGCACTGGCATATTGACTCCTGGGAATAGCTAGTTAGAGTCTGCTCTGATGGTTTTATTCCTTTTATATTTCTGGAACTAACAGTCCTTTAACTCATCCTCCCAAATGCTGGAGTTATAAGTATGTACCATTACCTGGCCATATATTCATCTTAATTCTTTGTTTTTTTTCTTTAGGTACCATTTGCCTCTGTCATGCCTGTCAAGAAAATAGGCCACCGAGGTGTTGATTCCTCTGGAGAGACTACATATAAAAAGGTAAGTCTGGACAGACTGGCTGGAACATCTTACTTTGGTAACACACCAAGGGCAATGCTGTTGTTTTCTTTTGTTGTTTGCTTTTCTTGAGATTGTGTCTCATTCTAAAACAGGGTGATCTGGAATTCACTATGTAGTTGAGGCTGGCTTTGAACTTCCTGTAGTCTTTCTTCCTCAGCCTCCCAAGTGCTTAGATTATAGGTATGAGCCACCATGTCTGGCCAGTACTGTTCTTGATACTGCTCGCCACAAACTATTCCATTTGGCTTTTCTTATTTTGTTTGTTGGTTTGTGGTTTTGTTTCATTTGAGACAAAATCTTTCTATTTAGTCTTGACGGGCCTGGAATTCACTGTGTAGACCATGCTGTCTCAGACCCACAGAGATCTGCCTGTCTTTGCCTCCTGAGTGCGGGAATTAAAGGTGTGTAGCACTACACCCAACCCATTTGTTGATAGACAATGAATATAATGTAACTTGTGTTTTGAAATTAATTCACAAAGAATGAATTATTTTTATATATGTGATTAAAGGAGACTGTTACTAATGAAAAAATCTAGTGTTAGTTTATAGTATCTTTTTTTTTTTGAGACAGGGTTTCCCTGTGTAGCTTTGCACCTTTCCTGGAGCTCACTTGGTAGCCCAGGCTGGCCTCGAACTCACAGAGATCCAACTGCCTCTGCCTCCTGAGTGCTGGGATTAAAGACATGCGCCACCAACGCCCGGCTGATAGTATCTTTTTTTTTTTTTTTTAAGATTTTATTTATTAATTATGTATACAGTGTTCTGTCTGTGTGTGTCCTTGCAGGCCAGAAGAGGGCACCAGATCTCATTACAGATGGTTGTGAGCCACCGTGTGGTTGCTGGGAATCAAACTCAGGACCTCTGGAAGAGCATTCAGTGCTCTTAACCACTGAGCCATCTCTCCAGCCCGATACTATCTTTTTAAAAAAAAATTTAAAACATGGGGTCTCTCTACATAGTCCTGGCTGTTCTCAAACTCACTATGTAGGCCAGGACAGCTCAAACTCACAGACAGCTACCTGTCTTTGCCTCCTAAGTGCTGGGATTAAAGGTATGCACTACCATGCCCAGCCATGGTTGATACTTTCATTGAATGGAAGAAATTGGATTTCATTATTAGATAGAAATATATTGCTGAGTCCTAAAAGGCACTTTTTCCCTTGCCACAGGAAACCTGAGTTTTTGTTTTTTGTTTTGTTTTGTTTTCCTCCTTTTTGAAAATGGGTCTTTTCCATACCCCAGGCTGATCTCAGACTCACTGTAACAGAGGATGACTTTGAATTCCTGACCCTTCTTCCTTCCATCTCCCGAGTTCTCTGAGATTTACAAGCATGCACCACACCTACCTGGAGTCCTGTGTCTCTGGGTTTTTTTTTTGTTGTTGTTCTTCTTCTTTTTCTTCTTCTTCTTCTTCTTTTTCTTCTTCTTCTTCTTCTTCTTCTTCTTCTTCTTCTTCTTCTTCTTCTTCTTCTTCTTCTTCTTCTTCTTCTTCTTCTCCTTCTCCTCCTCCTCCTCCTTCTCCTCCTCCTCCTCCTCCTCCTCCTTCTCCTCCTCCTCCTCCTCCTCCTCCTCCTTCTCCTCCTCCTCCTCCTCCTCCTTCTCCTCCTCCTCCTCCTCCTCCTCCTTCTCCTCCTCCTCTCTCCTCCTCTTCATCTTTTTTCTTCTTCTCCTCCTCCTTCTCCTCCTCCTCCTCCTCTTCTTCTTCTTCTTTTTCTCCTCCTCCCTCTCCTTTTCCTTCTCTCCTCCTCCTCCTCCTCCTTTTTGTTTTGTTTTGTTTTTTTGAGACAGGGTTTCTCTGTGTAGCTTTGGAGCCTGTCCTGGAACTCACTCTGTAGACAAGGCTGGCCTCTGCCTCCTGAGTGCTGGGATTAAAGGCATGCGCCACCACCGCCCGGCTTTTTCTTTTCTTTTCTTCTCTTTTCTTTTTTCTTTTTCTTTTCTTTCTTTCTTTTTTTTAAGACAAGGTCTCATAATATAGTCCAGGCTGGCCTTGAACTTGCTATATACTGTTGGATACCTTGCAGCTAGAGTTACAGGCTGCTGTGATCCCCTGTTGTGGGTGCTAGGGACTGAACTCAGATCCCCTGGAAGAACAGCAACCCCTCCAGACCCAGTTATCACCTCTAATACATTTTCCCTCTGAAATTTTACTGTTTTCACATTTCTCAGAGTTATCCTGATAATTTTTTCCATCCTTTTTCTTCTTTCTTTTTTTTTTTTTTTTGAGACAGGGTTTCTCTGTATAGACCAGGCTGTCCTGGAACTCAAGAGATTCTGCCTCCTGAGTGCTGGGACTTAAGTAGTACACTACCACCACCTAACTAAATTTAGTATTTTTTGTTTTATGGGTGTTTTGCCTTCATGTATGTCTGTGCACCACCTACATGCCTGGTGCCTAGAGGCCAGAGAAGGTGTTGGATCCCCTCAAACTGGAGTTACAGATAATTGTGAGTCATCATGTGGGTGGTTGTGCCCTCTGGAAGAGCAGCCAGTGCTCTTAACTCTCTCTCTCTCTTTTTTTTTCTTTTTACATTTTTTGATTCTTTTTAAGTTACTAAGTCTCAAGTTGCTCAGTATTACCAAGCAAATTTGTACATTTTAACAGTGGTGATTTGCAAAGTGACTAGAAACCAGTCTTCCAGTATCTTTTCTTCCACAAACACAACCGTGTGTCTTCAGACCCATGGGATCTGATTCCTTCTTCTGACCAGGATGCTGCACGCATGTGGTACTTATACATACATGGAGGCAAAATATCCATACCCAAGTTGAATTTTTCATGTGTAGTGGTTTTTCTTTTCTTTTCTTTTCTTTTTTTTGCGTGTATATGTGTGTGTGTATTTGAGACAGTATCTGTGTAGTCCTGGCTGGCCTGGAACTCTGTGTAGACCAGCCTGGCCTCCAAATGCACAGAGTTCCACCTGCTTCTGCCTCTGAAGTGCTGGAATGCACAACCACTCCTGGCCATGTTTTCTTTTTTTAATTAAGAAGCTTTTTGTTTGTTTGTTTTTTACTACTTTAGTGTTCTTGGAATACTTGTTCTTCTTTCAGAGGACCAAAGCTATACAGTCAAAACTATACAGTCAAATCAGAATCTCTGTTAATGTTCATTATATTCTTTACCAGATGAATCAAATGTTTGGGGGGCTCAGCTACCCCCAGGGCAACTAGTAGTAGTGGTAATATGGAGCTCTTCCCTAGCTGAGGCCAGCACAGAGTGTCCTCCCTTGCTATTCTGAATCTTCACTGTTTTTAATCGTTTCTAGGTTTAATTGCAATGTAGAGGACTGGGATAGCCTAAATTCTGTCTAAACTATTGGAAGGGCATTTGCTTTCAAGTGTTTCTTTTTACATTTTCATCATGGGTTTAGTGGGTTTGATTGATTGGTTTGGTTTCTTAAGTCCAAGTGTAGACCAAGCTGACCTACATTTGTAAATTTCTTGTCTTAACCATTTAAGTGCTGGGATTCCAGGTGTGCCTCTGTGCCCAAATTTCTCCTTGGTTATTATTGGTATGGTCAGACTTTTGTTTGTTTGTTTTCTTTTAGGGGTTTCAGAGTTGAAATACAGACAGAGTCTTTGTTTGGGCTTAAACTTAAGGCAGTCCTCCTATTTCTGTGTTCTGGAATTATAGGCATGTGCCACCATCCCCAGACTTTGTTTAGACTTGATACCAGAACGTTTCTGTCATTTCTTTACTGTTTTTTAGACAACTTCATCAGCCTTGAAAGGTGCCATCCAGTTAGGTATTACCCACACTGTGGGCAGCCTGAGTACCAAGCCCGAGCGAGATGTCCTCATGCAAGACTTCTACGTGGTGGAGAGTATCTTCTTTCCCAGGTACAGAGGTCAATTCATATTTAAGAGAGTGTCCTAGACAGTCGGACTTTCTTTACATCAATCTTGGGGCTCTAGTCTAATTTCTTGTCAGTCCTGAACCTTCTTGTGAACAGGGTAAGTGAGATTAGACAGTTTAGAGAGCAGGCTTTGCTACATGCCTCTGGCCAATGGAATGTCATATGTAAAAAACAAACATCCGGGCAGTGGTGGCGCACGCCTTTTAATCCCAGCACTTGGAGGCAGAGGCAGACCTGGGCTACCAAGTGAGTTCCAGGAAAGGCGCAAAGCTACACTGAAACCCTGTCTCGAAAAACCAAAAAGAAGAAAAAACAAACAAAAAAACAACTTATTTAGGCTAGTGAGATGGCTTAACAGATAAAGATAAAGCCTAACAACCTGAGTTTGATCCACATGATGGGGATAATTAAATCCTGCAGGTTTTCCTCTGACTTAACACATGTACCAAGGCATGTATGCTTGGGTGCACGCTCGTGCATACACACACACACACACACACACACACACACACGCACGCACGCACGCACGCACGCACGCACGCACGCTCAGAATAAATGTAATCTAAAAAGTTTTCAGAGCTGGATAAGATGGCTCAGTGGTTTAGAGCACCTGCTGCTTTTTCAAAAGATGTAGGTTCATTTCCTGGCACCCACATTTTGGCTCACAACCATTTGTAACTTTAGTTCCAAAGGATCTGACACTTTCTTGGCCTCCAAAACTACCAGGCATGTCTATGGTTCATAGACATGCATGCAGGCAAAACATTCATACACACAGAATTAGCTGTGTTTGGTGGTGCCTGTAATCCCAGCATTTGTGAGGCAGAAACAAATTGATCTCTGTTAGTTCAAGGCCAGCCCTGGCTACATAGTGAGACTCTATTTCAAACAAATAAACAAACAAAAAACAAAAACAAACTTTTAAATGACTTAGTGCCTTTGTCCCACAGATGGACTTACCTTCATCCCTGTTGAGTCTCAGAAGTATTGATGGGCATCCCTTTCAGCATCTGCCCAGGGTGGATTCCATGGGTGATGGGGTCTAGCAAGTTAAGGTTTCTTTATATTCAACCCACAGTGAAGGGAGCAACCTGACACCAGCTCATCATTACAATGACTTTCGTTTCAAGACCTATGCGCCTGTTGCCTTCCGTTACTTTAGAGAGCTGTTTGGCATCCGGCCTGATGATTACTTGGTAAGTTTCTTGTCACAGAATCTGTGATTATAAGGTCAGAGGAATATTCCAAAAAAATATTTCCCTCTTCCATCATCTTGCTTTAGTGTTGTTTAGAATGGATGTTTGTCTGTGCCTGATTTCTGTGATAGGCAGGCCCTGGCATATCTGACTCTTAGTGTCTTCTCTTGTTTTCAGTACTCCCTTTGCAGTGAACCATTGATTGAACTCTCCAACTCTGGAGCTAGTGGTTCCCTCTTCTATGTGTCCAGTGATGATGAGTTCATCATTAAGACAGTCCAGCATAAAGAAGCGGAATTTCTGCAGAAGCTGCTTCCGGGATACTACATGGTGAGTGAGGAGCGCTGGCAGAGGCTGTCCTCAGCTGTATCAGTCTTTGTGTCTTCATGTTGGGGTTTGAGTTTACTTAGAGGTCAAAGTCAAGACAGACAATTTTTTTGGTGCTTTTGGTTTTTGAGACAGTATCTTCCCTGCTGCCCTTGAATTACTTACTGATCATCCAGCTTCTGCCTCCCAAGTACTGGAATTAAATGTGTGCCGCCACCACACTGGGTTTAAGTGGTGCTGAGCATTGAACCCAGGCTTTGTGAATGCTAAGCTAGCATTCTTTCTGATGTGTTTGTTTTGAGACTGGATCTTCCTGTGTAGCCCAAAGCCATTCCTGAATCTCCTGCCTCTGACTCTGTGGTATCAGGATTATAAGTGGCCATCACCGTGCCTGGTTAATACTGTTTTCTCTTTAAACTCTCTTAGATGCCAGGAGAAATTTTGAACAAATATGTAGTTCAACACATTTTACCTAAATCCCTTGTAAAGCAGAGGAACAGTGGCTAGCAACTTTTGCCTTGAGTTTCACTGAGAATCAGCTAACTTGCTCTACTGCTTCTTACTTTTATGTCTTAGAATCTTAACCAAAACCCTCGAACCTTGCTGCCTAAATTCTATGGACTGTACTGTGTGCAAGCAGGCGGCAAGAACATACGAATTGTGGTGATGAACAATCTCTTACCTCGGTCAGTCAAAATGCATATGAAATATGACCTAAAGGGTTCAACTTATAAACGGCGAGCTTCTCAGAAAGAACGGGAGAAGCTTCTCCCCACCTTTAAAGACCTGGACTTCCTACAAGATGTCCCCGACGGTCTTTTTTTAGATGCTGACATGTACAGTGCTCTGTGTAAGACTCTGCAGCGTGACTGTTTGGTGAGTTGCTATGTTTTTCTCTATTGTAGACACAGAAATCATTTTCATTGAAAAACCTTGGTGATTCTCTGGCATTTAGTCTACAGGAGATGGAACTCGGATCATTAGTTCCCTCTGTCCTGCTTTTATTTGTTTGTTTGTTTGTTTGTTTTGGAGAGTATGTATATGTGTGTGAGGGTACAGTTGTACTTTGCCATGTATAGCACAGTTGAGCACAGGTGCTGTCACTTATGTATGAGTGTGTGCTTCCTGTGTGTGGACATGTAGAGGCCAGAGGTCAGCACTGGGTGTCTTCTTGATGGCACTCCACCTTATTTTCTGAGACAAAGTCTCTCACTGAACCTAGAGCTCACCATTTCAGCTAAACTGGCTGACTAACCCATGAGATCTGCCTATGCCTTTCCCCACAGTGCTGGGGTTACAAATGTGCACTGTCATGCCCTGCTATTATGTGGGTGCTGGGGACCCAAACTCCACTCCACATGTTTGTGCAGCAAGTACTTTTCCCACTGAGTTTCTTCTCCACCCCCAGATTGCATTTTAGATGACTTTTACATTCGCTCATGGCTGGTCCTTTACATCTTTGCTCTTGTCATTTACCTTCCACTCCTGGGCTGTAGTCCTTGTGAAGCATTCATAGGAGAACTTTAACTTAGTTGTACTACACAGCCATTATTCCTTAGATTTTGGTCTTGCCTGCCCAATCCAAATTTATATCTTGAAAATTTAAATGCTGTTGAACACTACACAACGGTACACCAGATCTGCTGATTTGTAATATTTTTCTAGACGAGTGGTTCTCAACCTTCCTAGTGCTTTGACCCTTTAATACACTCATGTGTGGTGACCCCCAACCATAAACTGTTTTTGTTGCTGCTTCATAACTATAATTTTGCTACTGTTATGAATTGTAATGTAAATATCTTTGTTTTCCCATGGTCTTAGGCGACACCTGTAAAAGGGCCATTCAACCTCCTAAAGTGGTCATGACCCACAGGTCGAGAATCACTTGACTAGACCATCAGTTTTACTCATTCCATTTCCTCTTCTTCCCAGTAAGCATTTCATTGCCTCTAACCTCCAGCAGTTCTTCTTGACTCTGTTTCCCTAGTTTGGGGATTACAAGTAAAAGCCATTATGCCCAGTTTTCTAAACCTCTCTGCCTCTTCCCCTAATCCAGTCTCTCTTTTGGTTTCTCAAGACAGGGTTTCTCTGTGTAGCCCTGGCTATCCTGGAACTCACTCTGTAGACCAGGGTAGCCTAGAACTCAGAGATCCACTGGCTTCTGCCTCCCCAGTGCTGCGACTAAAGGTGTGCACCACCACTGCCTGTCCCTAACCCAGACTCTTAGCCCGCATCTCTCCAGCTTGTTTCTCAGCAGTGACTGGAGCACTCCATCCTGTTCTACCCCTTTGTGTTGCCGTGTACTCACCCTTATTTGCTCACTCTGGGGTGCTTCCTCAATGATGCCCATTTTAGTCTGTCTCCTCCTTCAGTTTACTCAACTAAATGAGCCAATAGTTGTTTTCAGTTTGACTCAGTCAGCTGTAGCCAGCCACTCCTCACCCTTTTTTCTACACTAATCATGGCACCCTTAGTTGAACAGCATTGTCAGAATGAGCTGTGGGAGCTGATATGAGTAGACCCTTTCACCTTGTTCTAGGGAACAAAACAGGTTAACAGGTTGAATGTGCTTCTTGCTCTAGACTTTGTTTTTGTTTTTTTGAGACAGGGTTTCTCTGTGTTGTTTTGGATCCTGTCCTGGATCTCTCTCTGTAGACCAGACTGGCCTCGAACTCACAGAGATCTGTCTGGCTCTGCCTCCCGGGTGCTGGGATTAAAGACGTGCGCCACCGCCACCACCACCCGGCCTTGCTCTAGGCTTTTTTTTTTTTTTTTTTGGAGACAGTGTTTCTCTATAGCCCTGGCTGCCCTGGAACTCTCTCTGTAGACCAGGCTGGCCTCAAAATCCAATTGCCTCTGCCTCCCAAGTGCTAGGATTAAAGGTATGCGCCATCACTGCCCAACTCAGTGATCTTTTTTCATCGTTTTCTGTGGTCTTCTATCATGTAAACATTTGTACTGTATTGCTGTATTGCACTTGTTTTTATATTTGTATTCAGTAAATGTTGAACGAAACTGAAGCTGACTGTATAAAGTCCTGCCACAGATCTGCTCTGACCCAGAACTGCCACAGTGTACTTTTTTCTCCTTGTTGTTTTTGTTTTGTTTTGTTTTGAGATTGGGTCTCAGGTAGCCCAAGCTATCCTTGTCTTCCCTATGTAGCTATGGGTGACCTTGAATTCCTGGTGCTGTCTTCATCTTCCAGGTTCTGGGGTTGCAGGCTTTCGTTACCATGCTCAGTTTATGCAGTGCTAGAAATGGGGCTTAGATAAAAGATCCCAGGCTGTTGTTACAGATTCTTTACAGGACAGATACATAGTCCTTGTTCATGGAAAAAGACAGTGATCTTTTCATAAGTGACAAAATGAACTCAAAAAAAAAAATAAGTTGCAGTGGGTAGTCTGGTGGCTTGAACCTCTAATTCCTATTGTGGGGAACTTGGTGAGACCATATCTCAAAATTTAAAGAGTAAAGGGAGGGCCAGGCGGTGGTGGCACACACCTTTAATCCCAGCACTTGGGAGGCAGAGCCAGGCGGATCTCTGAGTTCGAGGCTAGCCCGGTCTATAGAGCAAGATCCAGGACAGTCATCAAAACCATACAGAGAAACCCTTTCTTGAAATCCCCCCCCCCCAAAAAAGGGGGTAAAGGCTGGGGATATACCTTAGTGATATATGCCAGAGACCTGTGTTCAATCTCCAGTACTGCAAAAAATATTTATTATTCAGTAGTTAATATTATTCAAATGGCAGAGAAAAGGAGTGTAACTAAAGACCTACCAGAGTGATGTGTTCTTTTGTTTTGTTTTGTTTTGTTTTGTTTTGAGACAGAGTTTCTCAGTGTAACAGTCCTGGCTATCCTGGAACTCGCTTTGTAGACCAGGTTGGCCTCGAACTCACAGAGATCCGCCTTCCTCTGCCTCCCAAGTGCTGGGATTAAAGGTGTGTGCCACCACTGCCCGGCGAGTGATGTGTTCTTAAAGAGCAAAGACAGCCTATGGTTGTCTGGAGCTTCACGGTCTAGTTAGGTTATGAAAGTGGTGAGAACTTGAAAATTTTGAGTCCTGATACCTCTCAGATTTTGATCGTCTTGTCCTCTCTCCCCATTAGGTGCTACAGAGCTTCAAGATAATGGACTATAGCCTCCTGATGTCAATCCACAATATAGATCATGCACAGCGAGAGCCCATGAACAATGAAGCACAGTACTCGGTTGACACTCGCAGACCAGCCCCCCAGAAGGCGCTCTATTCCACAGCTATGGAGTCCATTCAGGGCGAGGCTCGACGGGGTGGCACTGTGGAGACTGAGGACCAGTGAGTGGGCTTGGGAGCCACAGCTGTCGCACATGTTCTCACAGTACTTTTTCTTGAAGGCATCTGGCTTCTGGAAAAGAATAGCTTTGATTTCGCAGTGAGGCCAGCAGCATTAGTGCTCATGGGGCCGTTGACCGGTCTTTTATAAGGTGGAGAATAAAAGAATGTAAGAGGAAAGGAAAATATTTGTGAGTTTGCAGTTCATCTGGGAAAGAGTTATCTAAGATGAAATGTTAACACTTCAGAGCTGTAAATCATGTTAGGTTTTTTGTTTGTTTGTTTGTTTTTTGAGACAGGGTTTCTGTATAGCTCTGGCTGTCTTGAAACTCCCTCTGTAGACCACGCTGGCCTCAAACTCAGAGATCCCCCTGCCTCTTCTGGGATTAAAGGTGTGGGCCACCACCATCCAGCTCACATTAGAACTTTTATCACAGCTTACTGTAGGCTTCTTTGCTGAAGGCCTGTTACTGCCTTGGGTTTATCCAGTGACTGTGGTTACTAAGTTTCAGATGTTTCACTTTTTTAGGTGTCTTATAACATGACTGCCAAGGAAGTTATCTTAGTGGGAACAAATAAAGATACAAAAGTACCAGCATGTTCATTTTTATTTGAGGACTAGTCCCAAAATTACTAAGTAGTCATGATTTCAGTCTCTTTGATGGAGCTATATGAGACAGGTACAAGGCAATTATCATACATGATCCAGAGGGGCTCTTTGTCTGTCTAGGGGATGTGTCAGTTATATTTAGCTATTAGTTGCATGTCCAGGTTTGACTGGAGGTTAGAAGTTTCTACCTGCTAGTGAGCAGATTTTTCTAACTCTTTTCCTTTTGTTTTCGTCAGCATGGGTGGTATCCCTGCCCGGAATAACAAAGGGGAAAGGCTCCTGCTTTATATTGGCATCATTGATATTCTGCAGTCTTACAGGTGAGGGTGATGGACATGTGGATTGCAGACTGGGGACAGGGTACATTGAGCTGTGGTTGCTCAAGGCTTTTTTTTCCCCCTCCTTTTGGCTTTTTGAGACAAGGCTTCTCTTTGTAGCCCTGGCTGTCCTGGAACTCCCTCTGTAGACCAGGCTGGCCTCTGCCTCTTGAGTGCTGAGATTGAAGGTGTGCACCACCACTGCCCTGGCCTTCCTTTCTTTTTTAATTTTTTTTCCTTTTTCCCCCTCTTGTTTTATAAATGTGAGTGTTTTGCTGTTGTCTATATATGTGCACCACTTGAATGTCTGGTGCCCATGGAGATCAGAGGAGGGTGTTGGATCCCCTAGGACTGGAGTTACAGATGTTGTAAGTCATCATGTGGATTCTGGGAACTGAACCCAGGCCTTCTGCAAGGGCAACAAGTGCTCTTACCTGCTGAGCCATCTTGCCAGGTCCTCAACATACATCTTTTTAGACGTGTTCTTTTTCTTTTTCTTTTTTTCCTCAAGATAAGGTTTTACTGTGTAGCCTGGGCTGTCCTGGAACTCCCTCTGTAGACCAGGCTGGCCTCACACTCAGAGATCTGCCTCCCTCTGCCTCTCAAGAGATGGGATTAAAGGCATTTGCCGCTTCCGCCTGGCTTAGATGTGTTTCTTGTAAAGTTCTTCATGATGCAAGAACCGTGAGTCAGAGTCTGGTCACCTATAGCTTTTAGGTGCTTTGTTCCCTGGTTTTTCTGGATTGCCGCCTCTTCAACACGATATATATTTTCTGTGGAATACTGAGTCAGTCCTCAGACGCATAGGGTGGAGCGCTCCATCTGCCTTGACTCGCTGAGAAACCTGTAGGTTGAGTCATCTTCCATAGAGGGAGGTAGCTGGAAGCAGCACATTCTGACTCCCCGAAGGAGAAGTCAGATCTCTGTATTATGTAAAATGACCGGCCTCTGGCAGGGAAGCGGTGCTGGGGGAGGAGATGCAAATGGTAGGCTCCGTTTTGTTCCTGACACACTGCAGCTACTAACGTGGACTGACTGGTCAGTATTTGATTGACTGACTACTACCACTAAAACTTTCTTACATTTAGTTGTCTTTTGTGTGTGTTTGCGTATGTTTATGCTACAGTGGGCATGCGGAGGTCAGAGGACAATTTGTGGGAGTCGGTTCTCTCCATCGTGGGGACTCTGGGGATTAAACTCAGGTCATCAGATGTGGTGGCAGGCACCTCTACCCACGGAGCCATCCCTCCAGCCCTCTTACCCTTCTATTCCTTCAGCTTTCTTTTCTTTTTCTCTTCTGGTTTGTTGTTTGTTCTGGGTTTTGTTTCGTTTTTCAGACAAGGTCTCACAGTGTAGCCCAGGCAGACCTGGAGCTCATGGCAATCCTCTAGACCCAGTCTCTCAAGTGCTTGGTTACAGGCATGTGCTACACCTTACCCTGCCTTTCCTTTACAAATCATTTTGTTTTGCTGTGCTGTGCTTTTCTAGCAGTTGAACCCAGGACCTCATACATGTTGGCAAGTGTTTCATTACTGAACTATCCTACTCATTTAATTGGCTTAGCTAGAAGTAGCATTGGTCTCCATGTGGAATAAGTACTACCATGGTAGTTCTTTGGAAAGCCAGTATACCACAGTGGGTGTACTTGCCCAGTGTTTATCTGTTTAAGGTTTTCTGTTATCATGGCCCCTTTTTAGCCCTCTAAAATAAGTAATCATAATGGTCTTTCATTTACAAATTGTGTGATACACCTTTTTCTTGGCAGGTTTGTTAAGAAGTTGGAGCACTCTTGGAAAGCACTGGTACATGATGGGGTGAGTATAGCAGTCAGCTAAAGGCCTCCTCCCCACCTCTCCGTTCCTTGCCATTTGCTCCCTCAAATGTGTGTATGCATTCTGTCTATGTAGTATTCATTTCATTTCTGGGCTTGACCCATCTGGTAGGGTTTCAGTGTAAGGGAACAGGCCCTTGGATGACACAGCCTCTTGCTGGGCCTTTCTGTTTAACTCTGTAGTCATCTCTTCTGTTCAACAGGACACAGTATCAGTACATCGTCCAGGCTTCTATGCTGAGCGGTTCCAGCGCTTCATGTGCAACACAGTGTTCAAGAAGATTCCCTGTAAGTGGCTTCTACCAGATGACCCCCCAGTGGCTCCCTTCCCCCAAGAGATGGTGGGCAGGACACCTCTGTCAGGGAGCTGCCAAGGCCAGAGGCCTCTCCTGCTCTGCCTCCATCCTGTGAGCGCTGCTTCTCGTCCTTGTGTCAGCCCCTGTCTGTCCCAGTCGTTTCCGAGTCGCTGCTCCCCCCGGCTCTCCCTCCATGTCTCGTCGAGGTGAGGGCTACTTCTGGGAAATTGGTGGGACTGGAAAAAATTGTGTAGCTGTCGCTGTAGACTGTGGTACAGGCTCAGGCGTCTAAAAGCAGACTTGTGTGTAGAAAGAAGAGGCAGTGGTGTTAGCAGTGTTTCTTACCTTCCGTGTCAGGGCCAGGAGTTATCCGGGTAGGTCAAGTGGTTGAATGTTGTTGATGACTGGTGAAGGAGATTTTAGTCTTGGCCCTCAACGTTCTAGACACAGAAGTACCAGTGTTCTTTTTTAAACTTTGTACGTTTTGACACTGGCAGGTTCAGGGTCGTCCTCCTTTGCTGACATCATAGGCACCAGTTGTCCCTTTGGGGGGTGAGGAAGGCGTAGATCACAGACAGGCTGTGAGGCCTAACAGTCTGTTTGCAGAGGGAAGCACCAGCGTCAACACAGTGCACTAAGAAGGGTGGAGACACGTCGTCTGTAGCTTTTACTGGGTCATGTTAACAAAGGACAGGTACACTCCATCGGTGAAATCCGAGCAGAAGGCAATGTTTTTGTCACTTAAGTTTTCTGTTTCTTTCCAAAGTGAGTGACTTGACCCTTGTCTGAGCAGTACTCTGTAGGCCACCTTTTCTGACATTAACCCGTTTTCCGCCTTTGCTTCAGAACAACTTGGTGTGTGTTGGGGTACTAGCAGCTGGTGTCTGTCTGGTGACGGTTTCTGAGGTGGTGCTAAGTAGACTCTCTCTCTCCCTTTTGAAGTGAAGCCTTCTCCTTCCAAAAAGTTTCGGCCTGGCTCGTCTTTCTCTCGGCGATCAGGCCCCAGCGGCAACTCCTGCATTACTTACCAGCCATCGGTCTCTGGGGAACACAGAGCACAAGTGACAACCAAGGCGGAAGTGGAGCCAGGTCAGCCCCAGGGCTGGGGTCCCCTTGCATTTGGACACTCCCTCCCTTCTTCTGAGCTCGTAGGTTCTCTGGCCAGGACCTCTACTCCCTGTTTCTATGCAGTAAAAACTAACTTGCTAACTTGTCTTGAGTTTTTTGTTTTCGTTTTTTACCCCTGAGAACAGGGTTGTGTGTGTAGCCCTGGCTGTCCTGGAATTCACTCTAGACCAGACTGGACTCGAACTCAGATCCTCCTGAGTCTGCCTCCCAAACACTGGGACTAAAGGCATGCGCCACCATACCCAGCTGTTTGTTTGGAGACAGGGTCACACTTTGTAGCCCAGGCTCTCCTGGAATTAACTGTGTGTGTAGCCAAGCTGACCTCAACCTCATGGCCCTCCTTTTTCAGCCTCCTAAGTACTAGCATTACAGGAATGAGTCACCATGCCCCTCTAGGTCACCATACATTTTCCCTGTGTTTCCCTGACTATACTGTCCTTCATTTATTGATTCATTCCTTGTTTATCAATTGATTGTCTGTTTTCTCCAGATGTGCACCTTGGGCGTCCTGATGTCTTACCTCAGACTCCACCTTTGGAGGAAATCAGTGAGGGTTCACCTGTTCCTGGCCCCAGTTTCTCACCTGTAGTTGGAGAACCTTTGCAAATACTAAATTTGAGGTTGGTTTCTTAGCCTGTTACTCCATATAACCTCTTTCAGCTCCTCAGAAATCTTCATTTTGACATTTTCAAGAGCCTATGCTGGGTGTTGTGGTGTGCTAGGGAGGCAGTGACAGGTAGATCTCAGAGTTCAAAGCCAGCCTGAGCTACCTAGTGAGGTCCAGGACAGCCAGGGCTATAGAGAGGCCCTATCTCCAAAAAAAAAGAAAGAAAAGAAAAGAAAAAGGGGGAAAAAAGAGAGAGAGAGAGAGAGAGAGAATTTATTGTTTGACTGGTGGTTTTGAGACCATTTCACTGAATAGTCCACACTTATCTCAGATGTGCAGTCCTGTATCAGTCTCCTGTGTTCTGGGCCTGTAGTCAGGTGCTACCACCCTGGCAGCAGTCAAGCATTCAAGAGGCTAGTATAATAATCATGACTTCATTTTGTTATCTAGTATGTTATCTATTCCATCATAATGAATTACTTCCATACTTCATGGCTTAAAATAAGAAACATAGCTGGATGTTCTGGGACACACCTTAAATCCTGGCACCAAAGGGTTAGAGAATGGAAGATGGGAATTCAAAGCCAGCCTGGGCTGTATGAGACCTGGTCTCAAAACAAACAAAGCTAAACAAAAACCGATGTCATAGTTTCTTGGGTTAGGAATCCAGATTTAGCTTATGTAGGTCTTTGAGCTAAGATTTCTCAGGAGATGGTAATGAAACTGTGGCCAGGAATAGGATCCTGTCCTCAAGTAGAAGAATTTCTTTCTAAGCTCATTGGTAGGTTAGTGTTGTGACTTGGTTCCTTGCTGGGGCAAGACTAAAGACAGCCCTCTGTTTGCCTTATGGGTTCTCCACTGATCTACTCAGAACATAGCTACTAATATCTCTGTCAGTGTGTGTGAGAGAGGTCTGTCTGCATAGAAACTATGTATAGAATCCTTTTTTTTTTTTTACATTTGTTTTGGTTTTAAGAGACATGGTTTCTCTGTATAACAGTCCTGGCTGGCTTGAAATTCACTCTGTAGCCCAGGCTGGCCTCTAACTGACAGAGATCCACCTGCCTCTGCCTCCCAAGTGGTAGAATTAAAGGCATGCATCATCACTACCCAGTGAGACTATAGAATTTTTGTTTTGTTTTGTTTTTCGAGACAGGGTTTCTCTTTGTAGCTCTAGCTGTCTTGAACTTGCTTTGTAGACCAGACTGGCCTCGAACTCACCGAGATCTGCCTGCCTCTGCTCCCAAGGGCTGGGAGTAAAATGTGCGCCACCACTGCCTGGCTGACTATAGAATTCTTGATACCTATTCTTAGAATTGATAGGATGCTATCACCCATGCTACATTTTCATTAATGACTCAAGGCTATGACTGCTGGCAGCAGGAATCATTGGGAGCTATCTTAGACTCTCCTTTCCACTGGCCATGGTGGCACTTACTTGTAATTGCCTGTAATCATAGCACTCTGGGCTCAAGCACAAGGGTTACAGGGAGTGTGAAACCAGCCTGGTTTTGAATGGCTCCCTGGGTACTGTTTCATAAGCACTGCTCCTCAAGTTCTCCTCCTCTTACACTATGGACCCGTGGTCTAAAAGGAGGAGTTATCGTCTACCCTTAAACCATCCTACCCGTGGGAAGGCACTGCAAATGCTGTATACATTGCTTTCAACAGTGAGGATTCAGGGACAGGAGGGATTGTTCAGTGGTACAGCATTTCCCTAGCATAGCTGGGGCCCTGGGTTTTATCTTTAGTGCTGGACACAAAGAGAAAGGCACAGAGAGTCATTAGCTGTCCTACAGTCCAGGGACTGTTCGTCTTTCTTCAGTTGGGTCTCAGAGTGTAGAAATCACTCTACAGAGCACTTGGTTTCACTTCACCCTTGGTCTTCTTGTTTCAGGAAAGCTAGAGTATATTTTCAGCTTTTTTTTTTTTAAAAAAAATAAACATTTATTTATTTATTTATTTTATGTGCATTGGGTTTTTTCCTGCATCTATGTCTGTGTGAGGATGCCAGGTCCACTGGAATTGGAGTTACAAATAGTTGTGAACTGCCATGTGGGTGCTGGGAATTGAACCTGGGTCCATCTGGAAGAGCAGCCAGTGCTTTTAACTGCTGAGCCACCTCTCCAGGCCTATTTTCAGCTGCTTTCTAGTAGAATTTGGAGGAGGATGTGTCCAATGGTCTCTTGTTTCAAATTTTATTTAAATTTATAAAGTTTAGCTTAGCATGGTAATGCCTTTAATTCCGACATTCAGGAGGCAGAGGCAGAAGGATCTTGAGTTCAAGGCCAGCCAGCACTATACAGTGAGACCCTGCCCCCCCAAAAAACCTACACCTTTTATAAGAAATTTTAACTCTGTGTGTGTGTGTGTGTTTATGTGTGTGCAGTGCCTTTGCAAGCATGAAAGCTTGCGTAACAGCCTCTAGTGATCTCTTGGTGTTGTTCTGTCTCAGGCCCATTTAGTTTAAGTTAGCACTGTTTCTGCTGCTGGTAGAATTCTAGCAAAGGGTCATTCCATTGTGTGACTCTTACTAGGTTTTACTCTAGTAGATAAAATCCCTGTTCACAAATACCTTTTTTCTTCTTCTATCTTTTTTTTTAATTGTTTTTACTTTTATTTTATGTGTATGAGTATTTTTGTCTCCATGTATGTCTGTGTACCATGTGCATGTCAAGTACCACAGGGACTGAGCATTGGCTCCCCGGGAACTAGAGTTCCAGGTAGTTGTGAGTTGGGTACGTGCTGGGAACTGAACTCAGGTCCTCTGCCAGAGCAGTAAGTGCTCTTAATGACTCAGCCATCTCTCCAGTCCACAAATGCCATCCTCATATTCCCTGTGCTTTTTAGAGTTACGAGTATCTGTGAGACAAACCTGCAGCTTCTGTCTATTTGGTCTTTTTATTGGTACTTGAGGATAGAACCCGGGGCTTCATACATTACATCTGTATCTCACTCTTTGTTTTGTTGTTTGAGAAAAGGTCTCACTTATGTAACTTTGACTAGCCTAGAATTTGCTGTGTAGACAAGGCTGGCCTGGAACTCAGAGTCACCTGCCTCTGTCTCCTGAGTGTTGGGATTAAAGACATGTACCACCATGCCAGGCTCAGGCCTTCATTATTATTTATTTTTTTTAAAAGAAAATTTCTATTCATTTTACATACCAATCACAGATTCCCCCTCTCCTCCCTTCTCCCACCCCCCAGGCCTTTATTTTTTAATTTTAAATGTTTTCACATTTATTTATTTGGAGGGGGCGGGCACACATATGCCACACATTGTGGATATCGGAAAATAGCCTTCCGTGTAGGTTTCAGACTCAAGCTTGGTGGCAGACTCCACTTTAGCCTGCCGAGCTGTCTAACCAGCCTTATTTGTTGGCTTTTGAGATGCCTGACTCTGTAACCTAAGCTGACCTAGTGTTCACAGCAATCCTCTACATCAGCCTTCCCAGTACTAGTACTATATAGTGTGAGGCACTGCCCCTGGTGAGGTCCTTAAGTCTGAAGTCAAGACCTAGGCATAGTAGACAAGATGGACAAGCACCATTGCCTCTGGGCTCCAATGCTACCCACCACCTTGGAGGTTTCCTTACAGACTGTTGGCCAGCAATACTCCGTAGTTACTTGTCATTTCCTTTCTATACCTAGCATTCTTCAGAGCAAAGAAAACCTTCATTCAAGAAGTAGCCACAGCCGGGCTGTGGTGGCGCATGCCTTTGATCAATGCCAGCACTCGGGAGGCAGAGGCAGGCGGATCTCTGTGAGTTCGAGGCCAGCCTAGGCTACAGAGCGAGTTTGATCTTCAGAACCCATATAGTTTGGTCTTCAAAACCCGTATGGTATAAAGAGAGAACTATTTCTGTGGTCTGTCCTCTGACCCCCACAGTCATGCTATGGCATGTGCACATATACCCCAAATGCAAACAGTTGGTTGAGGGCACTGGCAATCTTATGGGGATCCTGAGAAAAATTAAGAATTATGATTAAGTCCTGACTGGAATAGTCTGTAAGGCTGCATTGTCTGAGCCAGTTGCCTTGAAGCTTTTTTGGATATTGGATCATCTGGGCCATCGTGTCATTGGAGACCTTTCAGGGGGTCTTGACTGATCAAACCATATTAGCCTGGAAGCAAGCCACATCTCACCTCACCAACTCCATGAATTCTGACTGACTGTCTCTAAGTCCTCAGCCAAAAAGGGCCTCTAGCTGAAAAGGTTTTAATTCCTGTCTCCCCATGCCTTATATACCTTTCTCTGCCCAGGCGACGTTACTTCCTTCCTAATGCTGGGATTAAAGGTGTGTGCCGGGCTGGAGAGATGGCTCAGCAGTTAAGAGCATTGGCTGTTCTTTCAGAGGTCCTAAGTTCAATTCCCAGCAACTACACGGTGGCTCACAACCATCTGTAATGAGATCTGGTGCCCTCTTCTGGCCTGCAGGCAGAATACTGTATACTAAATAAATAAATATTTAAAAAATAAAATAAAATAATAAAGGTGTGTGCCACCACTGCCTGGCTGTTTCTCTCCTAGACTGAGTCAATCTCATATAGTCCAGGGTGGCTTTGGACTCACAGAGATCCAGACGGATCTCAGCCTCCTGAGTACTAGGATTAAAGGCGTGGCCACCACTGCCTAGCTTCTGTGTTTAATCTAGTGGCTCGTTCTGTCCTCTGATCTTCAGGCAGATTTTATTAGGGTACACACTATACCAACCACAGGTTGTTTGTTAGACAATAGCTAGAATGCTAAGATTCACTTGCCTCTGACTCCTTGCCTGCTGGGGTTAAAAGTATATGCCATCACCCCGGGCCTTTGACTTTGTATCTTGAAAACGGTATCTCATAAGTATATCCAGAATAACCTTGAGGTCACTCTGTAGCTAGACAGACCTTGAACTATCAAACCTCCTGCCTCAGCCTCCAAGTAGCTGGGATTATAGACATGTATCACCGTGTCTGGCTTAAATTTAGTAGCTTCTTAGGTTTTCTCTTCTGTGTTAGTCTGTCCTTCAACCTTGGTGTGGGTTCCAGGGATCAAACTCAGTGCCAGGCTTGTGCAGCAAGCCCCTTTCTCCACTGAGCCATCTCTTCAGCCCAGTGGTGTTTTCTGAATCTTAAAAGAAATATGGAGAGGCACTATAATTGACCTTGGAGGATGTGCTGGGGATGGAAGCCAGGGTTCTGCATGCTGTATGTCTGTTCTGCCACTTGAGCTACACCCATAGTCCCTTTCCTCTTCTAATTCTCTCTGCCTTTTTTCTTTTTCTTCTCCTGTTAGCTCCACCTTGGAAAAGCTTGAAGTCGCAGAGTCCGAGTTCACCCATGTGAGTATCTGCCTCAAGGTTGTAAAGTGGGTCACTGATAGGATGGAGCAAAAAAGCTGATTGGGAAATATTGGTGTGCCCTTGAACCTGGCTTTTAAAAAATTGTGATCAGGCATGATGGCACACACCTTGAATTCCAGTACTTGGAAGTCAGAGTTGAAGGCATGCGCCACCGCCACCACCCCCGGCCAGGTTTGGTTTTAAAACTTCATACATACTTGGAGCTGGGCGTGGTGGCGCATGCCTTTAATCCCAGCACTTGGGAGGCAGAGGCAGGTTGATCACTGTGAGTTCGAGGCCAGCCCGGTCTACAGAGAGAGTTCCAGGACAGCCAGAGCTACACAGAGAAACCCAGTCTCGAACAAAACAAAAACAAAAAAAAAACAACTTCATACTTTGGAAGTTGAAACTAAAAAGAGAAGGGAAAAAGTCAGTTTGTTGTTTTTTTTTTTTTTTTTGGCTTTTCGAGACAGGGTTTCTCTGTGTAGCTTTGCGCCTCTCCTGGAACTCACTTGGTAGCCCAGGCTGGCCTCGAACTCACAGAGATCCGCCTGGCTCTGCCTCCCAAGTGCTGGGATTAAAGGCGTGCACCACCACCGCCCGGCAAAAGTCAGTTTTGCTAGCTAGGATGAGACAAACTTGAATTCCATTCCTGCCTACTTGTCTCTCATGGTTGACTTTACATTCTTATTCTTTTCAGTGAGCAGTGAGCCTCAGAAGACCTGAAACAAGACTCTACTGTCGCTTTGATCCCAAGATGTCAGCCCTTGCCCCAGGAATGCTGAGTCTTCTTCTTGGTCATCAGAAGAGGAGAGAAGTGTGGAGCCAGCAGAGCTCTCCATCCCGTCTCCCTTTCCGCTGGGCATCAGTGCCTTTGACAGTTGAGGACAGCAGCGTCTCCACCACTCCAGAATTGGGTGGCATGAATTTTTCCTGGGTCAGTCATGGCTTCAGTGACTGAATATTTTCAAACCCCATTCTTCGTGCAGATGTGGGGCTGCTGGACGAGGTGACTTTCTTCTCTTCACCTCTCACCTGGAGCTGGACTCTTCCTCAGGACAGACTAGCTGGACATCGTTCCCATTCGTTCTTCCCTCCGGTCTTTGAGAAGACCCCAGTGATTTTATTATAAAGGTTTTCTGGGGGAGATTAAGGATGACCCTACTCCCAGCCTTCTTTCTTCCTTAAAAAAGGAAAAGAACAAACAGCACGCGACACAGAGGCTCTAGAGTGTTAGGAAGCACCCTAGTGTTTGTGTAGCAGAAAGACTGTGACTTTCCTGCCTGCAGCTACTCTCTCCCTACTTAGGGCTGAGGGAGTGGAGAGGGCATGGCCACCTGTACCCTTTGTGAACAGGGCAGCCATGCCAGGAGAGTAGACCTTCTTAGCAGGATTCTACTCACTGCCCGGTCATACAGTTACTGTTTTGCAATTTGGAATGTATTCTAATAGTTTTTCTAAATATAAAGAATTATCAAATGATTTTAGACCATTCTCCAAAGGAGATTCCTTTGTTCTTCCCTTATTTTCCAACAGTATTCTGCTCTTTGTGGAGCTATGGTGGAGGGAGACATTTGTGTCTGTTTAACAGGCAGTCGTATCTATGAGGCTAGAGAATATTTTCTTAAACTTCTGGGGAGCTGCAGACTTCCCTCAGTAGGGTGATTGCCATGCCCCCTGGCCTGCCCCCCTGCTCTGTGTAGAGAAGCTGGAATGGGATCTCACAAGCCCTCTCCTCCCTCTCAGGGTTGTGGTCCATCTGGTCCTGGCCTATGGGGCAGTACATGGTGTTTCAGGCAGGCTGTTGAAATCTCATGTTGTTACTTCTCCAATGCATCCCACCTTGATAGCAAGTTAGCCTATCCCCCAAGTAACTGTCTATATTAGACACCCCCAGCCAGTTTCTGGCTGCCTGTCTTTGCTGCCATGTTCTTTTTTACAAGAAGGAAAGAAACAATTCTTGCTATTTTTTTCATAATTTACTATTTATGATGTATTTAAGTGTTTTATTCAGGACAGAGTTCTGTAGGGGTGGGAGGGAATATCTGAGGGCGGGCTTGGACTTAGGGGGTGGACATGGGGAGTCAACATTTTTATGGAGTGTTACTATTTGTCTCTACTTTGTATTGTTGGAAAATGACAAATGCAGTATAAAAGTAATAAATACCTGGTTTTAATGTATTAAAATTGTATCAGTTATTTAGACCCATTTTTAAATATTTTGATTAGCCTGATAGTGATGGTTTTATTACATTTTCATACATGTACATGAAGTACATGATCATTCTCACCTCCCTTGTCACCCTTTCTGTTCCTTGTTGGGGGTAGTTGTTGGTGCTGGAGTTAAACCCAGGAAGAAAGAACTTGGGCCTGACTGCTGAGCCTTCTTGGGTCTTTTTCACATCTCTGCTCCAGCTCCCTCCTCCACCCAGGCTGGGTTTGGGTTAGAATGAACAAAATCTTTAGCAGCCTTCCCATCCTTCAACTGAAGTATAACTCGGGCTGAGAGAGGGGCTTCAGTTCCCAACTGCAGTCCCTTCAGCATCAGAACAGTTTAAACTTGATGAAGAACTCTTGTGGAGATTGTAACTCAAGGATTTGAGAATCCAAAGCTCAGAGTTGGCTCAGGTTGAAGAGAAGAGGAAGATGTCAGTTGGCCCTAGAATGCCTTCTGACTAACCCAGTGCTTCTCTTGGAAAATCCCGGAGGCTCCCTTCAAGCTCTTTTTCTGGACTGGAGAGAGGAGTCTGGCTAAGAACACTTGCTGGTTGGTTCCTAGCACAGACAAGGGGCCTCACAACCCTCTGTAACTCTAGTCCCAAAGGGTCTGACACCCTCTTTTTGGCTCTATGGATACCAAGCATGTATGTGATGCACATAGATGCATACAGGCAAACACTCATAAAATTAATCTTAAAAGATAATGGTATAAATTTGCATTTAGGCTCTTCAATAGGAAAGTAGACAGGTGAGCTGGGCTCATTTTAATACCTGGAGATGGGGAAGCTTTTAAGAGTCAGATTTCATGTATTCGTGTGTGCGTGTGTGTGTGTGTGTGTGTGTTTGCACATATGTATAGGTTGCATATGTGTGGAAGCCAGAAGACAGCCTTGAGTGGCCCTTCCCAGAAGTGCTACCCACTTTGCTTTGTAAGAAATGGTCTCTCATTGACAAGTGTGTCCCACTGTGCCTGCCTTGTGTGTATCCGGCCCTCGGGCTTGCTCGGCAGGTAGTTCATGGCTGAGTTGTCCCAGGCTTGAGAGAAGCAAGTCAACTAAACATTGTTCTCCCTGTCCTGTAGAGATCATTAGAAGAGTTGGAGCTGCAGCCGCAGGAGTCCTGGCTGGACAAGCTTTGAGGAAGTTTCTTTTCCTCTGCCTGAGAGCTGGTTGAAAGAGGTGGCAGCTGCATGCTCCAGGAAAGCCGCAAGCAGGAGCTGTGAGGTCGGGCTGGAAAGGAAAGGCGGGGAGGTTTAGCCATCAGTGTGAAAGCTGGAGACCAAGGTCTTCTCCCAGAGCATGGAGGCCCCAGATGGTTCTAGATGGCAGGAGTTATCCCCTCTTTAGAGATGGTGACATTCTTGGGAAGGATGGGGACAGAAATCGCTGTTGAAATGGTGTCACATGAAGCGGCTCATTTTGCTGACACTGAGCTATACCGTCATGTAAATAATTTCCATAGCAATAAATCAATGACATCTAAACTAATGGCAAAAAAGTGTTATTTTTTTAAATATTTTCTTTATTTTTATTGTATGTGTACCAGTGTTGGCCTGCAGGTATATATGTGGCCACACATATGCCTGGTGCTTGTGGAAGCCAGAAGAGAGCATAGCATTCCCTGGATTTTTGTCTTGTTTTGTTTGTTTGTTTGTTTTGTTTTTGTTTTTGTTTTGTTTTCCAAGACAGGGTTTCTCAGTGTAGTTTTGGTGCCTGTCCTGGAACTCCCTCTGTAGACCAGGCTGGGCCTCGAACTCACAGAGATCCGCCTGCCTCTGCCTCCCGAGTGCTGGGATTAAAGGCGTGCGCCACCGCTACTCCCTGGCTCTGAATTTTTTTTAAAGATTTATTTTGTATACAGTATTCTGCCTGCATGTATGCTGCACACCAGAAGAGGACACCAGATCTCATTATAGATGGCTGTGAGGCATCATGTGGTTGCTGGGAATTGAACTCAGGACCTTTGGAAGTCTCTTAACCTGAGCTGTCTCTCCAGTATCCAAAAATGATTATTATGAACACTTATGTAGCAGCTCCTGAGCAGTGCATGAGACATGGAGATCCAAGAAGTAAACTGGCCATCAAGAGTTACAGTGTTCAGGAGTAAACACACACGAACTCATTAGCTGCGATACAATGAGGGACATGAGTACTGTGAATGATACACAACAAACCGCGGGAGTTCCGGGAGTTGGAAACAGCACTACACAGTGCGTGTCCAGCATTCCCGAATCCGTGCCTTAGTTCTCCAGTACTAAACCTGGGGGTGGGGGGGCACGCCTTTAAATCCGGAGAGGCAGGCGGATCTCTGAGTTCAAGGCCACCCTGGTCTACAAAGAGTTCCAGGACAGTCAGGGCTACACAGTGAGACCCTGTATCCCAGCATTCGGAATATGGAAGGAGGAGGATCAGAAGTTCTTGGTCATCTGACTGTATAGTAAGTTTGTGGACAGCCAGGTATACAAGAGGTCCTATCTCAAACAAAAATGGATGTGAGCGCAATCTGGCTGCCACTTGTTACCCCAGTTGATCTCCAGGGTTGACTTGACTGATCTGGCTGGCTAAGCAGGTGTCCCCTCCCTCCCTCACCGCTCCATGTGCATCCCTCCCAAGAGTGTGCAGCTGGGGGACGGGTGCCCAATAGAGGAGGGTCGGTCTTTGGTCAGGGGGATACGAGTAGCTGCACTCCCCTGCTAGACCCTCCAGGCAAGCTCTCAAATAAACAAATTCAATCAGAGGAGATAATGTGGGCCAGAAGTGTTGGCAAAAATCTCAAGCACGAAGGCTGCTAAGAATGAGAATGGTCAGCATGTTTTCTGAAGCAGTTATAAGGACACTGGACTAGATCCAGGTAGACCCCGCTGACACTGTAAGCCTGAGGAACCTGTGTGGGCTTCTGGTTTTTTGAGATAAGGCCTCACTGGGTAAGCTCAGCTAACCTGGACCTCACTGTGTAGACCAGGCTGGCTTCAAACTCAGAGATCCACCTGCCCCTGCCTCCAGAGTGCTAGAATTAAACAAAGGTTTGCACCACCATGCCCTGCTAACGTTTGGGTATGTGTTTTATTTTTTCACATTTATTTTATTAGTGTGGGAACTGTGACCTGCTCATCCCACAGCTCAAGTGTAGAGGTTGGGGCAACATGAGGGCGTCAGTTCTCTCCTACCATGTGGGTTCTGGGGTTGAACTTGGATCCTTAGCCCTTACCAGCCCTTTGTCTTCTTTTGTTTTTGGAACAGAGCCTCAGCCAAGGCTGACCTTGGATTGACTAGGTTGTGAGGCTGGCCTTGAACTCCAAACCTGCCTCTGCCTTCCCAAGTACTTGGCCAGTTTATCAGTTTTTTGGTTTTAATTTTTTTTTTCATTTAAAAATTTTTGTGGTTTTTCAAGATGTATTTCTTTTTTATGTATGAATGCTTTGCCTTCATGTATGTATATTCACCTGTGTGTGTGATGGTCTCAGTCAGAAGAAAGTGTTGGATCCTACCTCTGAAGCAAATTATGGATTGTTGTGACCCACCATGTGGGTTCTGGAACTCCAGTTCCAGGGACTCTGACACCCCCCTCTTGGCCTCTGTAGGCACTGCATGATCACAAACACCCACACACATAAAATTTAAAAATAGATTTATTTTTTGACATTAAAAAAAAATTCCTTTCTTCCTTCCAAGCCCTTGTATACACTGCTCCTTGCTCTCTTTCAAATTCATAGCCTCTTTTTTTGTTAATTGTTGTTATATGCATATGTGTGTACGTATAATGCTATTCCTGTGTATGTTTTCAGGACTGACTGACTGGTCCTGGATAACCAATCGGTGTACTCTTCCCCGGGGAAGGACTCTCAAGCCACCCAAGCTTTCTTAGTTGCCCGTAGTTCTTCGTGTAGGGTTGAGGTCTCTGTGGGCTTCCCTGTCCACTTTGGTATGTGTATGTTGTACTTGTTCAACTCATGGTTAGGCAGTCATGTTGGTGAGACTTTATGGTGTAGCTCCTGACATTACTAACAGACACAGTCTCACAGCAAACTCCCTGATCCTCTGGCTCTTACAATCTTTCCAATCTCTTCTACAATGTTCCCTGAGCCTTAGGTCTGAGAGTGTTTTGTGGATGTATTCATTGGGCCTGGGCTCCACATCTCTGCATTTTGATTGGTTGTGATTTTCTATAATGCTCTCCATCTGTTGTAAAGAAGTTTCCTTTGTAAGAAGAGGGGTGAGGACCACACTTATCTGTGCACTTCAGGATAAATATCTAGGATGCAGTTAGGGATGATGCTGGTTTCGTAGAGTGATGATTGTAGGCTCTCCTCCAAGACCCATGACTTCACTAGCCCTGGGTTTCCAGAACTAGGCACCGTTTCCCTCTTGTTGAGCAGGTCTAAGGTCCAGTCAGAGGGCCCTTGGTTACCCAAGGTTTGCGTGCCACTACTGTATCCTTGGAGTTATCATGCCCCTGCTTGCCATGGATGTGGTTCACAGGCATCATACCTGGGAAAGACTGGTGTTAGCGTCCATCCTTTGGCAGCTTCCTTCCCTCTGGTACCATGACAGCTTGTCCTCAGGGAGGGAGCGTTCAGATGAGTTCAGTTCAGAGGCATCGAGCCCCTACTTCTGAAGTGTATGGTGTCTTCAGCAACAAGTCTTCATCTCTGGTGCGCAACCAAGAGCAATAACAATGGCCAGTAATGTTTTGGGTGTCTCTTGGGCAACCCTGACCAGCAGCCCATGAGCGCTTCTCATACCTGGTGTTGAGGTTAGATGGTTTTTGTTAGATGGTCATTGGCTCTTGGAGAGAACATTTTCTGCCCAGATGGGAAACTTTCATTTAAACTATATGTGTATTTATAGACAGATTTATGTGTATTATAGTTTTGGGATTTTGTTTGTTTGTGGTTTTTTATTTCTATTTATTTATTTATTTAGGGTTTTTTTTTTGTTTTGTTTTTGAGACAGGATTTTGTAGGTTTTTTTTTTTTTTTTTTTTGCTCTTTACACTTTTACTCTTTGTGGGGCCTGCCACCCAGCTCCCAAATATATCTATCACACGGAGTCTTATTCTTACTTATGAATGCCTGGCCTTAGCTTGGCTTGTTCATAGTCAGCTTTTCTTAAATTATCCTGTCTATCTTTTGCCTTTCTCTGCTTCTGTATACCTTTGCTTTACTTCTTACTCCATGTCTGGCTGGGTAGGTGAGTGGCAGGCCCTGGCATCATCCCCCTTTTCTTGCTCCCCAATTATCTCCCAGATTTCTCCTCCTGCCTGCCAGCCCCACCTATCCTTTCTCCTGCCTTGCTATTGGCCATTCAGCTCTTTATTAGATCAATCAGGTGTTTCAGACAAAGTAAACAGCTTCACAGACTTAAACAAATGCAACATATGTAAGGATTATGTCCTTAATTACATCACCAGCCTTCGATGGCGTCCCAGCCTAAAAAGAGGGCGTGCCCTCTTTCGGCACTCTCTCTTTCCATGGTCTGTCTGTCTGTCTGTCTGTCTGTCTGTCTCTCTCTCTCTCTCTCTCTCTCTCTCTCTCTCTCTCTCTCTCCCTTTCTCTCCCAACAAAGCTCTAGAAAGGAAACCATAGCCCGTGATTTTTCCGCCCCCACAACATCCAGTGCTCTCTTCTGTTGGCATGGCCGCCGCTTAACCAACAACACATCTTTGCATTGTTAAACAAATGTTCCACAGCATAAACAAATGTAACAAATCTTAAAATAATATTCCACAACAGGATTTCTCTATAGCCCTGCCTGTCCTGGAGCTTGCTCTGTAGACTAGGCTGGCCTTGAACTCAGAGACCCACCTGCCTCTGCCTCCCAAGTGCTGGGATTACAGACGTGTGCCACCACCGCCGCCTGGGATAGTTTTGTGTTTTAAAAGGTAAATGTTGATAACATGACTCCTTATGACTTTTCCAGACACCCTACTGTCAGTTTCTATCTTCGCTCCTGTATTCATCTCCCTAATTAACATCCCCCGTTTCCCATTTCCCCGATCAGATCACTTTTATGTTCCCTGCTATTCCCTTCTCTATTGCTCCCCGAACTCTTACCCCAGCAATCGCCCCTTTGAGAAGTGGCTGTGGCTTGTTTCCTCTGATCTTTCAGCATTTACCCCAATGTCTGGCTCCAGCTCCAGGTTTTTATTATAAGACCATTTTAGGATTCGTGCAACGTCTGGTGTCCAACTTTTGGGGCACAAATTCATGAAAAAGCCACTTGCCTATGGCTTTGTAGCCACCAGCACAGGCCAGAGCAACAGGAAGCCGGAGTCTCCACACCACCAGGGCTGGAGTCCCTACCCTGATGTCTGAGTTTTTGTTGCAGCCTCTCCGCAGCAAACTCCATAGGTTTTTGAGCTCCAAAAACCACAGGAGTTAGCGGCTTTCACACACTCCCCTGTGAGGACAGCTGACACCAC